TGAGAGCTCAGCAGACAGTTAGGTTTCACTTTCACTTTCACTTTCACACAAGAGCCTGCAGGAGTCATGGGCGGGGTGTGTGGGGAGTGGGGTGGGGGTGTTCTCTGCCATGAGGAGGTTCGGCTTAAACACACGTCCCAGGGGGTGTTTCTGGTCCCAAAAGGTGTTTCTGGTCTCCACCTGTTGTTTTGCTCCTCAGTCTGGCTGCCTAAAAACACTGCAGGATTTCTCAAACATGCATGAATGAGTCAAAGCAAGGCTTTGGGCATGTTTTTCATGACAGTATAACATTATAACATGATATAAAACTCAAAAAAGTTGATTTTATGATATTGCCCCTTTAATATCTCAACATGTAGCTCTTAAATTCTCAGAAATTATGTTTGTAACACATTTAGCTGTAATCCAGTGTTTCATGTCTGAAAACACCACCATGTGTAAGGGAGTAGGCAGGACTTTTAGCCCCACAACCCAAGGGAACAGACTCTGATTGTAAATAAATACAACACGTGTTGGAATAAATAAGCCCTTAAAATCAATTCTGCTGCTTTATCCATCATCATTTCGGTGATTTTGGYACATCTATAGGTCAGTATAAGTTTACAGATTTTGGCACCTGTAGTTTTTTTATATAAATTGCTCTGTTCTATTTATTGTTTTACTTTCAGTACGATAAAACGTCCCTACAACAGTTTGTTAGAGCTAATCAAGCCTTTTGAAAGAGAAGCAAAATGTCTCCAAGAACCAAATAAGCAAGTCCAATTGTCTTCAGTTTAAGCACTTAGGTTTAAAAGCACTTAAGGATGATTAGACTGATTAAAAACAGCATTAGATATATTTTTCTTCATTCTTTTTTTCTCTAAGTAGCTCCCTAAGTGTACGTAAGTTTGTTTGGTTTGTAACTAATTATGTACTCCAGATAAGTTAAGAAAATAATTAAATGACCAAGAGAATGGAATAAGGCTTTCAGAGTTGTACTTGAGACTGTGAAATAAGAAAAACAGAAATGATAAAATGTAGGTCATTTTTATTTGTTAAATAAGGTGGTCCTGGTGATGAGTAGAGTGGCATGGTCTGAAACAGTCTAATGCATGAAATGTGGTGGGAATGAACAGTTCCTGGATCTAATTATGTTTGTCCTACTTTCCGTGAACTTCATCTTCATCAACAAACTTCCTCTGTAACTTTCAGGATAATGATCTTATCCTTTTCCTCTGGGGATTGTGGAGGGAAAAAAACCTGTTAACGTTTGTAACGTAGTGTTACTTTAGTTAAAACAGATGGACTATTGGAGAAGTTCATATGCATCGTTTGGCATAGATACATGTACTCTGACCATGTGCACAATAAGACAAGAGATTCATTTGCATTTCCTTGTATTTTGGCTTGGTTATAACTTCTTGGTGGAGTAAAAATGTTCTGGAAAAACTAATTGAGGCCCAACAAATTGAGCGTTGTAAATTAAGTATGCCAAACGAGTGACAGATTGTCATGTTTTCCAGCTATTCTTCCCTCCAAGTGATCCGTTCTTTGCTTCGGGAGATAGAGTAAGGAGATGGGCAAGCTAATTGTTTAAAGCTAATGGACACCAGACAGTAACAGGTGGCTACAAAGAGACGTTTAGTCACAAATGGTTGTGTTATCCCCAACGTAATTGCTCTGACAATTTTCCAACTGTTGTCAGGTCAGCCCAAGGCTAATGCTCACCGAGGCTGCATCTGTCTTCTCCCCTTGAAACGCTGAGACAGACGGTTTTATGTCCAGGAATGTTAAATTACATGTTCACGAGTGATATATTATTGCTTGGATTCAGCCCTGAACGCTCATTCATATTTATTAAAATCCTGTTGGCTTCTAAAGGGGAAAGTACTTTTTAACCTCTATACCTGCAGGTTATTGCTCATAATCTCATACCAGGAACAAGACGTGTCTGTGGGTTTGATATACTGAAGGAATCTCTGAAAGCTTCAGCAATAAAAAACAAGAACGTCGAACTCAGCTACACAAGTGGGCCAAGATTCAAAACTGGGTCCAAGCCAAGTGCCAGTTTGTCAATTTTAAATGAAAAAAAAAAAAACTGTTAGAAAACAACTTATTCTTATAGCATAGAATACTCTTTATTTTAACTGCACAAGCCTGCACAATGACACTGAAAGTGCCTCAGCTGATTGTTTTATAGAAAGACATGAAAGACAACTGCAACATCAACACTACATTTACACAATGACGTAAAACAAATACCCCAACAAATTATACATGCATGAATTAAAGCTTTAATGCACAAAGGACATCAGTCCTGAAAAACCAGCAACAAAACCAACAATAAAGTAGTTATTGCACTTAAAGTTAAGTTTAGTTTTATTTAGTTTAGTAAGGATCCCCATTAGTTATTACCTCAGCAATAACTATTCTACCTGGGGTCCACATAAAAACATCATATTAACAATAACATCACAATGACATAACAATAAAATTGGTAATACAATCAATTATACAAATATTAGTACAAAAAATACTAAATGCAAGCTAAACAAATATCTAATACACTGAATATTATTAAGATCATCTTCTGAAGAATTGCCACTTTCAGCTATCTTTTAAAAGAATCATCCTTATGAATCTGTGTAATATATGAAGTCATTTTATTGCATATAGAAACAACTCTACATAATACAGATTTTTAAAATGTATTAGTTTTATGTAAAGGTAAAGCAGATTGTCTAGTTTTTGTTTTACTCTTACATTACCTACATTTACTCATATCAGTCTTTTAAGAGAGTCAACTTAGTGTAATGGCAGACTGGTTATACCCCTGGTATAGTGTGTTTGGCTGGTGTCCTGAGTCTGGATGGTCCATGGGGAGAAACTGTTTTTGAGTCTGTTGGTGCAACTCTYAATGTTCCTGTACCAGCAGGCTGAGCAGGTGGTGACYAGGATATATAAAYGACCTTTTCCAAATACTKTTATTTAGCATTTAGAACATGAATTTAAACTTTTTCATCCATTATATCTTAGAGACGCATTTTATCACAATCCAGCAAATCAAGTAATAAAACAGAAAAACTCTTTTCAAACTTGTTTTTTTTGGGCTTGAAAGTTGGTGTTGTTAGTGTTGCGAGAAGAATGTGCTAAATAAGAGAAACCATAAAACTATTTCACATTTRAATKAATACATTTGGGACCAGATAAAATGTCAACAAGGGCCTGATTTGGCCCGGGGGCCTCAATTTGACACGTGGTCTGATGTGATGTCTTACCTGTTGTTGATGGCTAACTTCAGTTTGGAGAAATAGAGTTAATTTCCAGGGTGGTTGTGGAAGAACAGCTGTCTTGGGACGGGGTAGTTACCGGCTCAGTTTCCTGCCATGACCACATGCTGTGGTGTCCTTGAGCAAGCCCTGGGTGATAAAATAACTTCCCACTGCTCTGCTTGTGTCTCTCACGGGGCTCAATGATGCACAAATTTTGTGATTGCGTGGGCACGTGTGATGACAACACATAACACGTTCACTCTTTCTGACTCCTACAGCTGTCACCTCTAAACAACTGAAATCACAAAGATTTATGCAAACACTTTTCAAAAAATAAACCTTTTTGTTGTCTTAAATATTTAATTAGATGGTTATCGACATAGATTTCTGTGGTTATTTATCACCACAAATAGCAGTTAGCTTCTGGCACAGCCTGAAGCATTTCCAGCAAGAAGATTGTTTTATTTYTGCCTTTTGCTTTTAAAAGGACTTCAGTTACTGACTGGAGTAATCACCAGGATACTTGTTCATTTACTTTTTGATCAATTATTCTTGCAGCTCTAATTAAAATCCTCTTAGCAATTTGAGGGACTTCTCACACATTCAAATGTTCTGTTCCAGCATTACAAAACAACTTTTTATTTAATTTTTTTGAATTTTAGGACACAATGGCTCAAATTAGTGTAATATTCAACCTCCCGTCTTGACTGAAATAATTAATTCCTGCAATTTGTTGAAATGCTGTTGTGTAATCACAATGACACAATAAACCAGCAAGCTTAAAACATTTGACTTTAAGTAACTAATTAAGACTTAATGAACTCAATATACCAACGTTTCATTAAGCAACGCCATTCAAACAAAACTATTAAGTGTCCAGTTGGATTGTATGTTTTAATTAGTCTTTTTTTTAGCTGTTTCTATAGTCTAGTTAGTAGATGATCRTTTAATTATTATTCCACACAGCTACTGCATTGATAAGATTTACAACAACTATCCATATGTGTAATTGTCTGTCCTTCAATACAAGTAAAGGAAATAAATTTGTACATAATTCACATCTTTCCCTGTGTCCTCTGCGTCCTTTCACCGGCCTTTAATGTGCTTATTTTTCTGCGCACTTGGAAATTGAATCTCAAGGGCAGTGTGTTTTATGTGAAATAAGTGTGATTGTGAATTACCATGCAATTTACTCTCTAGCTCTTCAAACATGGCATTTTGTGATGAAAGGAGAAGTAGTTAGATTTGTGTGAAAACCAAACTTGTATGCTGCATTTATAGATTTGTTGGACGTGATTTGATGGAAATGAGATTTTTTAAATACTTTCTTTTTTCTTCTCTCTTACAGGAATCTTTTGGACAGGGACACTTTCTCCAAATCAGACCCATGTAAGTTCAGTTTACTCATTTTTATTACAGTTTAATGGTTATTTATGATTCTAATATTACAAAGAGTACAATTCTTTGAAAACCCTTTTCTCCCCTTTACATTGCTTTGCTTTCAGCTTTCAGCTTTTGCTGAGCTTAAGTTTAATTCAGTTTACTCTGCTCTTTCAAAGTGTTCCTCCAATAATGGCATATCATTTGCACAATAATGTGACAACCTTTCCTTGCTGTGAGCTAAAGTACCATAATGTATGCAGGGTATAAACACCAGCCCCTGAATACAAATGGCTATCTTTTGGTTTGAGAAATTGGAAAATGCCATAAAGACATTTTTTTGTGTTATATTCTCTGCTGAACGGAGAAGGGAGGAGATTTTTCTTTTTATATGTATAAGCCATTTGTGTAAATAAGCCAGGGGGAAAATATCACACGCACCCAGTTTAGTACATGCCTGAAGCTGAGTCTCAGGCTGTATGACAGGTCACGTAAGCTTCACCTGCTTCAGCTGTTTAAAGTTGCAAAATCAAACAGAAATCAGGAGAATCCCACCCATCAGGAAATTGTGTTTTGATTGCAGAGCTTAGAGAGTCTCGTGCTCCTCGAGCTCTTTGTCTTTCGTAGAGCTTTGTTTCTGTGCATGCGGATGTCACTCACCATTAATCATCAAGCTCGGCACTTCATTATGCTGTCAGGGCGTGGCAGGATAATTGATGATAAATGTCAGCAGCGAAGGAATAAAACAAACACCATTTGAAGATTCAGGCTGCTTGTCTTTGACAGTTTATTCTTATGCTTTTATGCTTTTTCTCCCCCCCCACACACACCCTCTTCCCTCCCATCCACCATCACCTCACCTCTCAGTGGTCGTGCTATACACCCAGGGTGCAGAGTCCAAACAGTGGAGAGAGGTAAGAGATCACAGCCGTTCTCTCTGTCAACACAACTCAATCAGTCTGGCTCGTCTCCATGACAGCCCACTTTCTGTTTACACCCCCCGTCATCCCCTCTGCTCTCTCAAGGTAAATGCTGTGTGCCAATCATGAGCAAATTGATCGACCCGGTGAACACTAACGGTCAGTACTGTGTTAGCTTTGACTGACTGACTGATTAGGGGGGCAGTTACACATAACTTTAAAGATTTTGCTCTGCACCAGACTCCCCCCAGGGCTGGAAGTGGGACCTAATTAGACCAAAGAGGCCAATAAATCTGCAGTAAGGCAGATGGGTCATACATAAACTCAGAGCAGATGGAATCGAAGAAACTTGAAATATTTGCCCAGTTCTGTTATCATTATTATTTGAGCTTTTTGGAAAGCTAAAATGTACTCTCTGAACATTACAGTTTGAGCTGTTTTGGACACACTCAATGAAATGTGGCTTCTGGTTTCATGCTCATAGCATTTTATTGACCAGTGCCATCCTGTTGGACTTCCCTCGTAGCACAAGTTTTAAATAGAGACACCTCATTGCAAAAAGCTGTTTGCAGTTTTAACCAATGTTGGGAAAATCATGGCTTCTAAAATGAGGATGTTTTGGAAAAACAATTATGCTGTCATTTTTTTTCAGCAAACTTCCATCAGCTTCATGAGGTAAGTTTGTTAAAATCAACAGGGTTATGTGTGTTTAAACAGTTGAGTTTGAAAAGCCTCAAACATATCACAGGTTTCATGTGACAAAGTAGCACTTTGACAAAGGTTTCTTTAATTTATAGAAGATAATGAGCAAAATCTTATTTTTCTCGTGTAGATATCAAGCTTACTCCCTTCTGTCATGCTGATTTGAATGAACTATAACTCATAAATCATGACCACCACCACAGTTTTGTGATRTATTTTAATTTAATTTGTGCGGAGAGCTGCAGAAATGAACTGGCTGCACTCAGCTGCTGTAGCTCTGTGTGGTTTGAGGTCACGTAAAGTCAAACAGCTCTGTTGGTGGTGTAACATGAGAAAATCTGACTGAGCTTGTCTTTAAATTACCTGCATAGATTGTTTGCATATTAAAAGCTGCTACAAAAATCAGTGAAGCCTCGTGTGCTGGAAGGAAGTAAACATATTTCAGGCTTCGTTTGGTGCTTGATTGTATTGTACGCTTGATTATTTTGTTCAACAGGAAAGTGCAATGATCACTTGAGCAAAAGTTGCACAAAATCAGCTCAGCGCAAAACTCCTATCCTCAGAAAGCAGGCGCACTGTCGGGTTGTTAAAGTAGTAATGTACTACAAATGTTTTTCCTCTGGTTGCACATCAGGAACAAGAGAGAATAGCTTCTTACTTTTTTAATTTGTAATTTTGGGCTTTCACCAAAGTAGATCCTGCCAACTGTATTTCAAAGAGGCCAAGCACTAAAATTAACAGCAAAACTGACAGAAGCAGACAGCAGCAGCTTTTCTAAGCAAGGTGTTGACTGATGCTGCTGCCTGTTTTTGAGCCGGCTACTCTTGTAAGGTGCAACACAATCTGCGCCGCGCTTCAACAAAAACAACACAACTTCTCCCAGGAAATCAGCAGTATTGTTCCACTTACCTGATCACACGAAGCGCTGTAATGTTTCCAGAAATTGCACCCACTAAGTGAGGCTCACAGCTGTTAACTTTGCAGAGACGGGATGGTGAGAGAACATTTTTTACTCGCATCAGAGGGGTCTTTGTTTCCACTTCTGAGACGCTGAACATGATGAACTACGCTCAGATAAATCTTACTCTCGATGCCTGATCAGGGGTAATTTTGTTCCATCTGTCTGAGCACATTTCTTCACTGCCTTTCACTTTCAAAACAAGCTCACGCTGACATGCAACCACCCTAATGTGGAGAAACTCGACTCTCGCAGTAACTGGGTTTAGTGTTTTGTTGCATTTTAAAAGCTTCTTTTCAGATTGTCTACTGAAACAAATTTGTAAGTGAAATTCACACTTTGAGTTGCACAAAGTTGTGATTATTAAACATTAGAGTGTTTTTAGAACGTGACAGCGCTTGTTTACTGACAAAGTTTTTAAAAATAAAGAATTTTTGACACACAAGGAGGAGTGAAACCAAACCCAGAAAGCAGAATGTGCAAAAACGCTGGACAAGATCATATCCTGACCTTTGACCTTTCTGTGTGAAGTCCTCGTGCGCAYGGGGGTTTACTCCAGAAGATTCCTCCCACAGATCAAAAACACACGTTAGGATAACTGGGATCTCTAAAATGTCAGTATGTGAGTGAGAATGTGAATGGTTGTTTGTCTCCATGTGTCCCTGTGATGGACTTGTCCAGGGTGTCCCTGCCTCTTGCACATTGCTGATGGTGGGCACCAGTGAACCCCACAACCCTGCAAAACAAAGATATTCTGTGTGTGAAACAACAGCAGACATTTCAGATGAAACAACTATATCAGACATGATTCAGTCAACAGAGCTCTTGCAGAAACAGGTGTCTGACTAATAAGATAAAAACCATTCAAGAGTCTATAAATCCAAAGAATACCTACGGGCTGAAAAAGTATTTTCAGCTAAATAAACAAACGGGCCTCTCTGAGCCGCGACCTTAATTTTACCAAACACAATACGTTTATCATGGTGAGAGTCTGATGGCTGCAGTTTCACAACGTCTTCAAGCTCTACGTTAAACAAAGAACAGCAAACTAATTAAGGATAAAAAAATGACTCGACATGTGCATTAATTTGTTTTATAAATGAATAGAAACATGTTAAAGAATGTGGATTAGTGTTTTAGAACAACACTCATGCAGCACTCATTTTTCACCGTATAACAATATTAGTTGCTGCTGTTTTTTTTGTCCTAAATAAATCAGTGATAACTGCCGATTACTGTCTTATAATAGAAATTAAAAATGTTTGTTTTGTAACTTTTTTAAAGTGCTGTAGTAAAAGCATTTGCTTTAAATGTTTTTGTGTGAAGTTCTAGTTCCACAACACAATTGATTAAAAATGTGTTTGGAGTTTGAAATGTTCTTTTTTGTTAAGAAAATGGTGCAAATTATCTGCTTTCCCTGAAGGGCCTTTTAAATGTTAAAATGAAAAGAAAAAAAAAGACCTGGAAAGACTTCACACGGCGAGTTAATCAGGGTGTGAGGTAGGTGTTGCATTGAACCTCGATTTAAACCGGTGGTGATTCTGTTGTGTGAAAACACCCTAAATATGTTTCTGAAGAACAGCTAATGCTTGAGTTCTGGTCTTGATTGTCTTTTAAGCCCATTCTGCAAAGTATAGCTAGCAGGTACAGTTAAAGCTGACAGATTATGATGCAAATGCAGATGGGCGTAAAATGGGTGAAGTGGCTTCCCACACCTGTCACCGCTGGTTCCAGTGCTCCACCTCGAGCTCAGAAACTGTGGGTTCAGGCCGGATGTGTGTCCCTGAAAGAGATACGGTCCTGTGTTTTCAGAGCAGATGTCAGCGGGCTAAGCAGCAGAGTCAAGCTGTGCAGCATTGATAAAGCTAAGCACCTCTTTTACCCCTCTGTGTGGTAATGTGTGTTGGCTGTCCCGAGTCTGTATGTGGATGGTTGAAGCACCTTTCACTGTGCCACCAAGCCATCTGAAATCCTATTACTCCTTTATGGTCTCAACTCCCACTCTGACTCCCAGTCAATCAAACTCCTCATCGGCTGGGGGTATCTTAGAAAATGCCACAGATAGTTTGTGTTTGCACTTTTTTTCAGCTCCAAATTCTGTGTATCCCCATGACAGAATTTCAGTTTAACACATTAAGTGGCAGTAGCACCTCGTTATCTGTTAGAGCACGATTTTTAAGTCCTAAATTGCAGCCTTCTCCTCTGTAAATTTCCCCCCAGTTAGCGACAGCGTTCCCTCTGCCTACCACTTTCACTTACCGAGGAGTTGACACAAATCTACCCCCTGCAGGAATTCAAGCAAAGCCTGGCCTTACTTCAAACTCATCGACGGTAATCTTTTTACCAAGATTGATTTCTTGACACTCCTGCTCACAGTTTTTTCTTGTCGCGYGTATCAGAGGGGAAGGAGTGCACACTGCTCTGGATGGCTGATCAGGGCTGATTTTTTTTCCCCTGCTGTTGCCATAAGGACAAAAGTGAAAATAC